TTTTTTTTTTTTTTTTGGTGCTGGGGATTGAGCCCAGGGTCTTGGGCTTGTGAGACAAGCACTCTACCAACTGAGCTATATTCCCAGCCCCTTAAAAAAAAAAATCTTGAGACAGGGGGTCTCACCAATTGCTAAAGGCCTTGCTAAATTGCTTTAAATTTGTGATCCTTCTGCCTCAGTGTCCTGAGCTGCTGGGATTACAAGTGTAGGCCACCATGCTTGGCCTGGTCTTGAACTTGCAATCCTCCTCTCAGGTGGATGGGGTTATAGGAGTGTGCCACCATACCTAGCCTAAAAGCAAGAAGAGAAGGATAATGATATTGAAACAGAGAAAGAAATATAAAGCAGGGAAAGAAGAAAAGTATCTTGATTTGTTTCATGTTTAGGTTAAAATAGAAAATATTTCAAAAGATGTCCAATTCTTAATTTAAAAAAAAGAGTTGGGAGCTTAGTAGAAAAGTTGGGGTCATTCTCTATCAGGATAGAGAATAAATTCCAAACTATTAGGAGAAGCAAATTCAAATCCCTCCAGGGTCAAGGTAGATGATATATGTGAATATTAATTGCAATAATAATAATAATAACCCAAACATACATCCACAATAAATGGCAACTACACTTGGCCCCAACAGGGAAGTTGTAGGGAATGGTGAGGACTAGGGTGAACTGAAGGACGTACTCTCTGAGAAACCAGTCGTGCCCAACAGGAATGCAGGACAAGTGCTATTAGATATTCTTGTATTTTTTTCTTGGGGGAGAGGACACTTTTTTGTTTAGTTTGGTTTGGTCTGGTATTTGAGAATGAATCCAGAGGCACTTTACTATTGAGTCACATCACCAGTCCATTTTATTTTTTATTTTGAGAAAGGGTCTTGCTAAGTTGCTGAGGCGGTCGTCAAACTAGCAATCCTCCTGCCTTAGCCTCCCAAGTCTTTCTGGGATTACAGGTGTCTGTACCCTGTGGACTGTTATTCTTTTTTTTTCTTCTTTTTTTGGTAACACTGGGAATTGAACACAGAGACACCTTACCACCAATCTGCATTCCCAGCCCTTTTTAATTTTTGATTTTGATTTAGGGTCTTGCTAAATTGCTCAGAGGCTCGCTAAATTGCTGAGGATGACCTGGAACTTGCAATCCTCCTGCCTCAGCCTTCTGAGTCATTGGTATTACAGGCCTGTGCTACTATGCCTGGCTTCTGTTATTGATTTTTTTTTTTTTTTTTTTGTACCAGGGATTGACCCAGGGGTGCTTAACCACTGAGTCACATCCCCAGCCCTTTTTATATTATATTTTGAGACAAGGTCTTGTTAAATTGTTAGGGCCTTCCTAAATTGCTGAGGCTGGCTTTGAACGTGGGATCCTCCTGCGTCGGCCTCATGAGTCTCTGGGATTACAGGTGTGTACCACTGTGCCAGGCCCGTTATTGATTCTTTTTTTTTTTTTTAATTTCTTCTTTTTTCAGTTGTTGATAGACTTTTATTTTATTTATTTATACACAGTGTTAAGAATCAAACCCAGTGCCTCATACATGCCAGGCAAGTGCGCTATGGCTAAGCCACAGCCACAACCCCCAGTTATTGATTCTTGAGAGTAACTCCCACGAGGTGGCTTAGTGTTAATCTTGGCTGCATCTTTGTGACAGGGAAGCCTAAAAGAGGTCCTGATGCAGAAAAATTATGAATGAACTTAGTAGTATTTTCATTCTGGTTAGGAAGTGATGAAGAAGCCTCTGGTTCTCCCTGGGGGATATTTCTTATCAATTCTGGGCAACACAGCAAGGTCATCACCAATAATGTCTGAAAAGAGGAAAGATCAAATTAACATCTACTGCAGCCACATGCAGATATACCATGCCAAAATGCACACCCCCACAAAACACCCACATTGCACAGGGTGGTCTTCAGCAGACACCCATAAAGTACATATTAACATCTGCAAATACATATCCCTATTCCTTCCCATCCACCAAGCTCAAAGCATGTGGACACATTGTAGTATGTACACTCACTCAAATAGATTGACTGCCCCCCAGCCACAATGATCGACACAGTGACCAACATCACTCACAGTTCTGTGCCGGAGAGCTGATGTCAATTCTCCCAGAATATCTCAGCCTAGCCTCTGCCTATAGATCTGCCTCATTCTACCTCAGGCGGTCAGAAAACTAGGGGGGTAAGCTTTGCAACCAAGTCAAGTCCCCATGTACCCTATAGGGCTCTGGGGAAGACAGAAATCCCATACAATGATCTAGTTGCTCCTGACCCGAGAGTGATAGCTCCATAGGAAAGAACAGTGTAGAGGCCCGGAAAGGGACCCAGTTTTCTGGGTGGGAATTTGGTCTGAGGAGAGTTTGAAATGCTGTGGCCACTCTTGGGTGGCTCACACAGGTGGGCTTGCAAATGGGCAAGAGGGGAAACAGGACCAGAAGGGTCAGTGGGTCTGGGGTCACATAAAATCCAAGTTCATGACCTAGATGAGGCACAAATTGAAATCTAGGAGCTGGAGTTGTGGCTCAGTGGTAGAGTGCTTGCCTAGCATGCATGAGCACTGGGTTCAATCCTCAGCACCACATAAAAATAAAATAAAGGTTTTGTGTCCACCTACAACTTGGAACTTTGGGTGTGGGATAAATAAACCTTCCTCTTCCTGAATTTGTGTGTAGAAAGAAAAGAAGAAGCCTGGTGCAGTGGCACTTGCTTGTAATCACAGCAACTCAGGAGGCTCAGGCAGGAGGATCACAAGTTTGTGGCCAGCCTCAGCAACTTAGTGAAATCCTGTCTCAACATAAAAAAGGGCTGGGGATGTGGCTTGGTGGTTCAATCCCAGGTATAGAAGGAGAAGGAGAGGAGGAGGAGGAGGAGGAGGAGGAGGAGGAGGAGCCGCCTCTGGTTCTTTTGGGTTATCTCTGCCTTATACAAAGTTCAGAAACTTTAAATGAGGACCTGAGATGTCCTGACCTATGGGTATGGAGATGGGGTTTATGATCTTCCTGCTCTTGTCCCCCACATTTGGGCTATTGCCCCATTCACTGCATCATCATATGGAATGGCAGCTCTGTGGGCCCACATGGGAGCTTGGGCTATGGTAACAAGAGCCCAGGAATTCTGTGGCCTAAAACAAAAAAGGACATCATATATGTAGGCAGCAAATTTTGTCCAGTCCTGACTCTACTGAGAACTCACTGTGTGGCCTAGTGATTGATATAAACGTTTACATAAACACAGAAAAATCTATTTCCTAAGGCAAAAATAGGTCATGGTTTGTAAAAAAAAAAAAAAAAAAAAAAACACCCCCCCCCCCATGACTTCTGCCTTTTTTTTTTTACAGCTGGGGATTGAACCCAGGGCTTCCTGCAGGCAAGTCATGCACTTCACCACTGAGCTACATCCCGAACCTTTCCATTAATTCTGGATGTGGGATGTCAGGCCAGGAACACAAGATCCTGGTCAAAGACACATCCAGGAAGATGTTAAGTGAATCCAGATTTCTGTCCTGAACAATCCTGTATAGATGCTTATACTCTGACCTATTTTGTTGACTTCCTTGGTGGTTAACATTGGTCAAATCCGGACTTGATGACACCTGTCTCTTTGGTTTGATGCACCTCTAGGTTATCTTTTCCCATTCAGTGCTGTTTCCTGTTTAAAAAACAAAAACAAAAAAAAAAAACTTCCCCCTTAGTAAACAAAGGTAATAGTCTCATCTGGCCTAAGCCGATTTTGTGGGGAGGAGTTAGTGAAGAAGCCATCTAAAGGATGTGTTTAATGTGACAACGTTAGAATTCCAGGGCATTTTGATTAGTTATATGAAGCAGTGGAGAATAATATTTGAAATCTGAATTGTTCTGAAAATATGGGATTTAGGAGCATCATAACCTGTTTCCAAATAAGTTTAAAACTGTTGTTGGGACAAGATGTCAACAACAGGTGTGGTTGCGCGTGCCTGTAATCTCAGCAACTCAGGAGGCTGGGCCAGGAAGATTGAAAGTTCAAGACCAGCCTCATCAATTTAGCAAAACAGTGTCTCAAAATAAAAAGTAAAAAGGGCTGGAAATGTAGCTCAGTGACAGAGCATCACTCGGGTTCAATCTATAGTAGCAAAAAACATAAAACAAAACCAACCAAATCAAACCCAAACAAAAAACTAGTGGAAGGTGGCAGAGAGGTATCCAGGAGAGAAGGATGTGAGCCATGATGCAGGAGGGCCAGGAGTGTTCAGACATGCATGGCATGGGGACCCAGCTCAAAGATGGGGATCATGGGCAGAATGCTGAGGCATCTGGGCTGTGATACTTATAGGACAGTGAACTAGAGCATAAAGTAGCAGTAACCTAAAAAAGCAAGTGGGGTTAAATTACAGAAGGTCTTAATTATTGGGTAAGGAGTGCAAACTTAATGAAGTGGAGAAATGGGAGAGAAGTTGTCTCAGATGATAGAACAAAGAGAAGAGCAAGTCTGTACAATTCTTCAGGAAGGCCACTCTACCAATGGAGAGGAGGAAGGTTTGTGGATGGGACTGGACAGAGTCCACTGCCATCATCTAGGTATGAAGAAGCAACCCATTCTGGGATGGGGTCTGAGAAATGAAGTAAGGGGGAAGCTAAAAACAGGTCTGAGTTCTCTGGGTGCAATGACTAGAAAAATGGCAGGCATCTCTGGCAGAAATGAAGATCAGGAAGGGAATCTGTTTGAGGACATTCACAGGGAGGGACAGATCAGGTGGGAAGAGGAGCAAGATGGAAGAACACAACTAGGTAGAAATGAAGGTCCACTGTAGAAAAGTCAAGATCAAAAGGGTCTGTGTGAATAGGATCTCCTTGGGGAAGGAAAGGGGAGAAAAAGGAAGAGGAGGAGATGGAGGGGGGGAAAGGACAGGGAGGGATCCAGAGGTGGCACAGGAGGGAGGGAGGCAGAGAAGGCTGGGGCACTGTGTCAGGGGATGGACCAGAAGACGGCTTCTAGGAGTGGCCAGAGGGTCACCTGGGTTTCAAGGAAAACCGGAATTTACGCAGGCCGCTGGGTTTGACTCCTTGAACAAATATGGGCATCTGTGTGTGCCCGATCTTGTGTTAGGACGGGGATTGGAAGTGGCTCCATTCAACCGACGACACCGAGAGTGCCCGTGACGGCGGAGGGCTGTGAGGGTGGAGAAGGAAACCTGAGGCCGGCTTCCCTCCCGCGAGGAGCCAATACCAGCGTTTACAAACGCCTGGGTCTGCGAAGAGGAAGGAAGCGGCGGAATGAGGGGAGGGGCAGGAGGAGGGAGTGGATAGAAAATTGCGTACAGTTCAGAGCACTTAAAGGAAAAGTGAGAACTGGGAAAATGACCCGAGTGTACAGAAAACTCCTGAAAACCCCACCCCCGCGCACCAAGTAATGAAAGTTGGATGTTTTTACGCAGGGAGAAAAAAAAACAAAAAACAAAAAACAAACACATTGCTGAAGAGGATGAGCAGAACTTGTCGGGGGAGGTGGGAATGTTATGGAAGAAAATAGAATATAGTCCTCATTGCTGAAGAGCCAAGAGGATCCCATTCAGACTAGTTAAGAAAAACGTGAATCTGGGTGTGGGGGCGCATGCAGGTAATCCCAGCGATCCGGGAGGCGGAGGTGGGCGATCATAAATTCGAGGCCAGCCTCCGCAACTTTGAGAGACTCAAAACAAAAAGGGCTGGGGGTGTAGCTCGGTGGTAGAGAGCTCTTGGTTTCCATTTCCACTATCACAAGAAGAAAGAAACACGGCAACGCGACAGAATGGTGACAAGAGGCCCGAGTGAGTGGTTCTGACTGTGTGTGTAGCTGGAAAGCGCTGTGGCAATCAAAAAAAGGGGACCTCTTGGGAGAGGCCGCAGCAATTGAGGCTTCCAGGGGGAGGTGGCATTTAACCCCGGCCTGGGTGGGCGGCGAGGCCAGTCCGGGCATGCCCCGAGCGGACCACTCTGCACGCTGCTTTTCTCAGCGGAGCACTCTCGGCCCCCTCGCGGCGCTAGCTCGCTCCGCACACCTCCCTCGGCTCCCGGCTCCCGAGCCCAGCGCAGGTTCCCAGCACTGACGTCAGCGGGCGATGACCTCAGCGCCGGCGAGGCGGGGGAGGCGGCGGCGGCAGCCGGGCGGGCGGGGGCGAGCTGCCGCGCGCTGGCGGGGCGGGGCGGGGCGGGGCGGCGGAGGGCCCGCCCCCATCCGCTGGCCGTGGCCAATGGGCGCCGCCGTCGGCTCCCCCACCTCCGCGAACAGTATGAAAGGCGCGGTCTAGGGAAAGTCCGGGCAGAGCCTGAGCCTGGGCCCGGCGAGCGGATCTCGGAGAACTGGCATTTCCCACGAGAGACCTCTCCCTGCTCCCCGAGCCGCGCAGGACATGAGCCACGGGAAGAGCACCGACATGCTCCCGGAGATCGCCGCCGCCGTGGGCTTCCTCTCCAGCCTCTTGAGGACCCGGGGCTGCGTGAGCGAGCAGAGACTTAAGGTTTTCAGTGGGGCGCTCCAGGAGGCACTAACAGGTGAGCACCGACGGAGGGGCTGGCGTCACAGGGGATCGATCTCTTCCCTGCCTGGGGCGTCTTTCCCCCTCCCGCGTCAGGACCCCCAAAGGAGCGGCTCCAGGATTCGGTTGTCCCTCCCCGACACAGCTGCCTGTCTCCTGGGTCTGGTCTCCCCTCCCTGGCTCTGAGCTTGGGACTTGGCCTGAGGTGGTTCCGATGGAGCGCGCCCCTCCACGTCCCCGGGGCGAAGACCCTTTCCTGGAGTGCTATCCCAAGTCTCTGGCTCTACCCGGAAGAAGGGAAACCTGCGGTCTGAGTGAAGGTTCATTTCCCTCACTGGACCCTTGAGACCTGGAGAACCCTCCAGGGGTGCTGCGGGCGATGAAGCCCCCCCCAACCGAGGGGTCCTTATGCATAATTAAGCCTTCTTAACAACTTGGAGGCCCAGCCACGCTTTGGGCCCTGCGGGCCTTCGCTGGGCCTGTCTGGTCTGCCGGTTGTTAACTCCCTCGAAGTTAGAATCTGGGCCCTCTTTGTATTTCTCTTTGGTCCCTCTTAGCCGTCTGCCATCTATTGTAGCTAGTAACTGCTCCAGGCCCTGTTGTGTTGGGGAGGCGGGCGTGAGACTGAGAGGTTGAGTAGAGATAAGCAGCCTCTGGCTGGCTGGGGAGAGACCTACCTCCCAGCTGTTTCTAGCCTGTTGGCTGGCGGTCTTAGACAGAGATAGTCATCTGTGAACGTGCCCGCACAGGACCTGCCTTCTGCCAAACACAGCTGCTTCGTCAAAACAATCCATTTTTTTACTCCCCCCGGCCACTGCTAAGGATGTGTGACTCTTCTGAAGGAGGCATGGGGCCCACTGGGCACAGGATGGGGGCCGGAGATCTTGTTGTAGGCCTCACAATGTTGATAGCTTTTGTGGCTCTGAAACTTCTGCTCACACACAGGTCCTGTAGACCCTGCCTGGACTTGCCAGCCCAGTCACACCCTTCCTTCCTTATACTGGGGGTGTGCCAAAAGCAATACATTTGGCCATTGGAGAGTATTCTAGAGCTCTGGGATCCTCTTTTAGCACATACACCCCTGACCTGGGAGCGGCTAAGGGGTCTCTCAGAACATAAGAGAAACTACCTCTCTTACTTGAAATTGCCACTGGCCCCCTTCCTCTCCTCCTGTCCCTTCACCCACTTTCCCAGCTCGTAATATCTACCACCCAGCAACTCTAACCAGGCATCTCTCTCTTCCCTCTCCACAGAGCACTACAAACACCACTGGTTTCCAGAAAAGCCATCCAAAGGCTCTGGCTACCGCTGCATTCGCATCAACCACAAGATGGACCCCATCATCAGCAAGGTGGCCAGTCAGATTGGACTCAGCCAGCCCCAGTTGCATAGCCTGCTGCCCAGCGAGTTGACCTTGTGGGTGGACCCTTACGAGGTGTCCTATCGCATAGGAGAGGATGGCTCCATCTGTGTCCTGTATGAGGAGCCTTCGGTGGCTGCCTCCTACGGCCTTCTCACCTGCAAAAACCAAATGATGCTGGGCAGGAGCAGCCCTTCCAAGAACTACGTGATGGCGGTCTCCAGCTAGATCCCTGCTGCCCCCACCCCGGCACTCTACTGTACTCATTCGCCATGACAACAGGCCACCGCATACCTCAACCTGGGGAACTGTATTTTTAAATGAAGAGCTATTTATATATATATATATATTATATATATTTTTTTTTTAAGAAAAGAGGAGAAAAAAAAACCAAAAGATTTTTTAAAAGAAAAAAATCCTTAAAGGGAGCTGCTTGGAAGTGGCCTCCCCAGGTGCCTTTGGAGATAACTGTTGTGTGTTTGAGTCTGTGAGCCAGTGTCTGCTTATGGGAGGGGAGTGGTTGGGGGGTAGACCTAGCCAAGGTGAGGGAGAAGCTTGGTGGCATCCCAGGAGGTAGAAGAGGGAGCAAGCAAGATTAGCACCTGTGAATGAGAGGTCAGGATCTGCCCTGCAGGGAGACGTTTAAAACCTCTCCTCCCAGCTGGGTCACCTGAATTGCTGGTTCCTCTCTCTCAGGGGCCTTCAAGCCAGGACTTCGATAATACTATGTTGCCTAATGTCTTATTTTTCTAATGAGATCTGGGCAGAGTGAAAAGGCCTCTCCTTATTCCTTCTGTCCTAAGCAGCTTTTCTCAGAAATCATGACTCCTTTCTGATTCTACCCTTGGGGACTGTAGAGGTTGTTTCCCAGCTAGGAATCTAAAGCTTTTTTTTTTTTTTTTCTCTCTCCCTCGGGAGGGGATGCTAAGGCTAGGGTTGGAGGTCTTTGGGGTTAGGATGGAAGGGAACTCTGCACAAAACCTTTGCTTTGCTGTGTGCTGCTTTGTGTGTATGTGTGGTAAATGATTTGGGGTGATTTGCAATGGAATTTTGGGACCCAAAGAGTATCCACTGGGGATGTTTTTTGGCCAAAACCCTTCTTTTTGGAACCACATGAGAGTCCTGATGCTGCTACAATTATTCCTTTGAAAGGTGGCTCAAAAGCTACAGGGAACTTCAGGTCCTTTCAATACTGCCTTTTTAAAAGCACAACACTCCTCTCTTGCCCTCCTGTCCTCTCCCCTTCTGGTTGGGTCACGGGCTATCCTATTTTCTAGGACAAGAGTTCTCAATCACTGTGCAATATGCCCCAGGAGGCTTTGGAGAACTGGCTCATAACACCTGGTACCCTGGTAGGTTTAGAGAACCATCCCTCCCCTCTCCTCAGCTGAAGGGGAGGATGCCCGTGCTCTGCAGGACTACTTGGTATTCTTGCAGGGCTGACACTAAAAGCCAAACCTTGGGCATTTTTTTCTCCCTGGTGCTCAGAGCACCTGTGGGAGAATTTGTTGCCTCATAGTAAAATCCAAATTCGTCTGTAGACTTGTGCAATATTTACTTTTCTGGGTTGGAGAAAAATGGAAAACTGTACGGGGAAAAAATCTCTTCCCTTCAGTTTCTCAGTGATTAAGGAGGGCTCCTCAGAAGACCTCAAGTTTCCCAAATCGAATCACCTTAAGGACAGAGCTAGAGCATCTGGTCAACCTGGTTTCCTCCTGCTGTTGCCCCTTCATGAAGATTCCCGTTCCCCCTCTTCCTTCCTCTATCCCATGCTTCCCTCCCGACTGCCTGCTAATCCCCTTCCCTGAATTTAACTATTCAATTTTAACTCAAAGGTGCTATTTACCAAACACTCTCCCTACTCATTCCTGCCTTTCCACTCCAGCTTTCTGCTGCCTTGCCAGGCGCTGCTTCCAGTCTTTATTGCTTTAAAGTTAACTCAGCCCATAGACCCAAGAGCTATTTTCTGGCCTGTGGGTTGGAACAAAGCTGTGAATCACTGCAGATTGTGTTCTTGCATCTTGTCTGCAAACAGGTCCCTGCCTTTTTAGAAGCAGCCTCTTGGTCTCACACTTTTCTCTCTTTTCTTGTTGATGTTCACTTTAAAAACAACCCTCCCACCCCAATCTGGAGCTGGACTGTTGAGCAGACCTGTCTCTCCTATTAAGTAAAAATAATAATAGTGCATTTGTAAGCTATTCAGACAGAAAAGACAAAGGTTACTAATTGTATAATAGTGTTTTTATATGGAAGAATGTATAGCTT